ATGCGGGGCCGTACCCTTTTGTGGGCTAACAGATCAGATATACTGGCTGACACAAAATTATCCTCAAAGGCACAAAGCCAGATTCTTTCATAGTGTCGTCAGGGGCAACTCCGTGAGGTGGCAGAGAAGAAAATCCTCGGGGGTCACAGGCCAAAGGACAGGGTACCTCCGAAACCACAGAGATGGGTACAGCATGTGACCCAAAAGAGAGACCCAGAGAAGCAGCATCTCCTTCTGCCAGAGAGCGAGGCCAGAAACAACGGTTGAGCTGGTCAGCAGAGGGAATTCTGGGCCAGATCCATCAGTCTTTACTGGGATCAAATTCCCCTTCACCTCCGAGGAGTTCTGCTTGAGTACAGCTGGCAGATGTTGGCCTTTTGCTACGCACGTGGCTGCTGCCTTATGGACACAGGAACAAAATCCTGCATAGGCCGGAGGGCAGGGTTTGGCCTGGTCAGCCCCTCAGCTATAACGTTACTGAACACGTCAGTGCGGGCTCGGGAGAGTCTTGGGTGTTTGTTTTAGCTGCCCCCCTTCCTGCCTGTGTCCTGGCATCTCTCTCTGGCTACTTAACACCCCTCCCCAAAATCTTAACGGGAGCGTGTTTATTTTAGAAACCAAATAGTGGCACGTAAAAATGGTGCTTGCCCACGAGGACAGTGAATTGGATCGGTCAGCCGATTGGAATTTACACTGATTGTGCAGTCCTGCCCTGGTGCATTGTGGCGACAGGCAGCTTAGAAAAGAGGAGACTAAGGGGGGATAGGATACAGGCTGGTGTGGAGAAAGTGAATCAGGAAAAGTTATTTACTGGTTCCCATAATATAAGAATTAGGGGTCACCAAATGAAATGAATGGGTAGCAGATTTAAAACAAACAAAAGGAAGTCAACCTGTGGAACTCCTTGCCAGAGGATGTTGTGAAGACCAGGACTTTAACAGGGTTCAAAAGAGAACTAAATAGATTCATGGAGGTTAGGTCCATCAATGGCTGTTTGCCAGGATGGGTAGGAATGGTGTCCCTAGTTCCTGTTTGTCTAGAAATGGATGACGGGAAGGATCATGTGAGGATTACCGGTTGTGTTTGCTCCATCTGGAGCACCTGGCATTGGCCACTGTCAGCAGACAGGACACTAGGCTAGATGGACCTTTTGTCTGACCCAGTCTAGCCCACTTATGTTCTTAGGACGGTCTGTCTGAAACAGCTGGCGTTCCAGTTTCTCAAAAGCAGAAAGTCTCTTTGCGGTAGTTCGGAACCATTCCTGCATTGCCCCAATGTCAGGTAGATAAGTAATGTGGTCATTCCAGTATGGCTAACTTTCACTAGCAGTGGTGTTTTCCTTCAAGCCCCAGCTGCTGGAGTCCCGTGATTATGTGAGACCCACATCCACTCTGATTTGATTAGCGCGGAAGCTTATGCTCTGATACCCTAATAAATGTGTTTGCCGTTGAAGTGCCACCAGACTCCACAGTTGTTTTAGCATTTGGTAAGAAAAAGGTCAGTCTCTAGCCTGACGGGCTGTAGAGGAAAGCTTGAAAATACAACCCCAGCCTACTCAAAGGTCCCAGAAACCGGAAGGCCAAGAAAAAAGAACGTAATAATTTATTATTTAAAACACAAACCCTGGCAATATTTAGGGTCAAGGCTCTTTTAGCATTGGGGTTGCCAGTCCTGCTGTTTGGGTAGCACTCTCAGGGTGTTTTGTGGGGCACTTCAGAAAGGCATTTGGGTCTGATCTGGTGCGGTGCTCCGCACCCCCGGCCCTGTGTCTGAAAGCCAGATGGGGAGCGGTGGGTGCTAGGAACCACTCTTGCTCAGGCTATTGGTCTTGCAAGCACGGGCTGTTATCTGGGGGGGGCTTGTCCCAGGACAGTTGTTGGACTGTTGATGGTCGTAGGCAAAATATAAGCTGCTGAATGCTTCACCTCGTGTTCTTTGAAACAATTCTTCTCTGGGCCTGGCTTGAGAGAAACTGCCTCAAACCTCAGCAGGGCAATTTTCAAGTTGCCAGGCATCCCGTTTTTGACCAGAAGACCCACTCGAAAAGGGACCCTCGTGGCTCTGCTCAGCGCTGCTGGCCAGGCCACTAAAAGCCCGGTTGGTTGCCTATAGCAGGCGCCTGCCAAGTTCTGCGTAGCTCCCGGGAGGCTGCCGGCATCTCCCTCGCGGGGGTTCCACACTCTAGGGTCCGCAGCTCCCATTGGCCAGGAGCTGCAGCCAATGGGAGCAGCGTCTGCAGACAAGGGTAGTGCATGGAGCTGCCTGGCCACACCTCTGCCTTTGAGCCAGAGGAAAATGCCAGTAGCATCCTGGGAGATGCCTGAGGTGAGCTCTGCACCCCAGCCTCTTCCCATACACAGACCCCTCATCTCAGATCTGCACCAGAGCTTGCACCCCCAGCCAGAGTCCTTACCCCCTCCTAGACCCCGAGCCCCCGCGTTACCACGGCACAGCTGCCGGGCCAGCGCCAAGCTGCTCTAGCGTATAGAACGTAGGCAAGCCAGTAATCCCAGTGCAAAATCTCTGGGTCTGATTTTTGTTCTCCATCACTCTTGCCAGAAACTGTTGCTGTAGACTGCATCTGGCGGAGTGATTTATTGCCAGGCCTTTGGGCTTCAAGTGTTGAAAGAGGCTATTGTGTTGCTCTTCCTTTCCCTCCTGCAAGATTCCCAGCTAGAGCGCGGCACAGCTGCTTGGCTTTCATCCTGCCAAATGGCCGGCTTCCCAAGGGGATCAATCTTGTCAGCAACATGTAGAAAGGCTGAAACAGAGATGGCTCCAGCAAAACAGAGATGGCTCCAGCAACGCCAGGAGCCGGCGCGTCCCTCCAGTGGGATTGTGTTAGCAGCAGTTCATCGGCGTGAGTCTAAGTGCCAGCAATGCCCCTCTGCCGCGTCCGCTGGCCAAGCGGAGAAATGGACACCTGTCAGACCTCGGGAATGCACCGAAACCTGCGAGGAGAAGGACCTCGGAGTCCTGGTTGATTATAGAATGACTATGAGCTGCCATTGTGACATGGCCGTGAAAAAGGCTAATACGATCTTGGGATGTATTAGGCGAGGTATTTCCAGTAGGGATAAGGAGGTGTTAGTGCCATTATACAAGGCATTGGTGAGACCCCATTTGGAATACTGTGTGCAGTTCTGATCTCCCATGTTTAAGAAAGATGAATTCAAACTGGATCAGGTACAAAGAAGGGCCACTAGGATGATCCGAGGAATGGAAAACCTGTCTTATGAAAGGAGACTCAAGGAGCTTGGCTTGTTTACCTTAACCAAAAGAAGGCTGAGGGGAGACATGATTGCACTTTGGTGAGACCCCATTTGGAATACTGTGTGCAGTTCTGATCTCCCATGTTTAAGAAAGATGAATTCAAACTGGATCAGGTACAAAGAAGGGCCACTAGGATGATCCGAGGAATGGAAAACCTGTCTTATGAAAGGAGACTCAAGGAGCTTGGCTTGTTTACCTTAACCAAAAGAAGGCTGAGGGGAGACATGATTGCACTCTTTAAATATATTAGAGGGATAAATGCCAGGGAGGGAGAGGAATTATTTAAGCTTAATACCAATGTGGACACAAGAACAAATGGATATAAGCTGGCTAGTAGGAAGTTTAGACTTGAGATTAGACGAAGGTTTCTAACCATTAGAGGAGTGAGGTTCTGGAACGGCCTTCCAAGGGAAGTAGTGGGGGCAAAAGATCTATCTGGCTTCAAGATTAAACTAGATGGGTTTATGAAGGGGATGGTTTGATGAGATAACATGATCTTGGTAACTAATTGACCATTCATTATCGGTGGGAAATAGGTCAATGGAGGGATGATAGGAATTACTAGAGAACTTTCTGGGTGTCTGGCTGATGAGTCTTGCCCACATGCTCAGGGTTTAGCTGATCGCCATATTTGGGGTCGGGAAGGAATTTTCCTCCAGGGTAGATTGGCAGAGGCCCTGGAGGTTTTTCGCCTTCCTCTGTAGCATGGGGCACAGATCACAGCTGGAGGATTCTCTGCATCTTGGGGCCTTCAAAGTATTTGAAGGCTTCAATATCTGAGATACAGGTGAGAGGATTATTCTAGGAGGGGTGGGTGAGATTCTGTGGCCTGCACTGTGCAGGGGTCAGACTAGATTATCATAATGGTCCCTTCTGACCCTGGAGTCTATGAGTCTATGAGTCTATAACCTGCCTGGCCACTCGATCGTGGATTTAAAAGTAGCCGTCCTGCTACAAAGGGCTTTCCCCAGCCAGTCACGGAGAGGATGGAACTGGCATCTATCTGCAAATTTGACACTGCTTCCCTGGGCTTGAACAAAGACATTAACTGGACGTCCCATTATAAAGCCAGTCTCCCCGGCCTTTAACACCAAAGGCGAAGCATGGGACACGCCCAGCCCGTTCGTTGGCCTCGTTAGCACCGGTCCTACAATTGGTTTTTTTTCTTCCTGTTATAAAATATCCGGTTTCTGTTATTTCTGCTCATCTGAGGAAGCAGGTTGTGCCCACCACCGCTCATGGTACTGTCCATGGTTTTGTCGGTCTCTCGGGTGCCACAGGACTACTCGTTGTTTTCACTGCTCCTGGCAAAGCCAACCGCTTTAGCACCACAACAGCTGTCCTGGCCAGGCCAGGAGCAGGCGGGATGCTGAGATTTGATTCTATAGTCCTGTGTCGCCATGGGCGTGTCACTGGGCCTCTGGTTTTCCTCCCTGTGGCGTGTGCGTAGTCCTGGCCCCCTACACGGCAGGAGTATAGGGGAATTAGTAAATCGCTGGTACCGGGCTTGGAAATCCTCAGGGGCACCCAGCGAGAGCAGGGCCGCAGGCTTAGAGTCCCTCGTGTGATTTGCAAAGGGTTCCCGGCGCAGCCTCTGGGCGCAAGGGGAACTGAGGCCTCGTGCTGCAGAAGCGAATCTCGGCTCCAGCCAGCATGCCTCAGAGGCCGGGTGCGTCACATCTTCGTCTCACTCTCTGTTTTGTGGTTTTGCTTTTCTTTGCCTCCAGGAAAAAACCAAAGTGGTGGAGCCCCTGGACTACGAGAATGAGGTTCTGCAACGGAGAGCCCAGATCTACAGCGACCCGCTCCGCGACCTGCTCATGTTTCCCATGGAGGACGTGTCTGTGAGTGTGTGGCCGGCCTGTTGTCATGCACAAGGCCTGGCTCCTGCCCCCCGCAGTGCTGGGGAACTCCCTCCCCTTTCGGCATGGACGTCGCGCGGATTTCTGAGGCGTTACAGCCGGGGCCCGGCCTTGAATCCAGCCCGTCGGCTTTTTGCTGTCGGTGTGGAAGGTCCCAGGTAACGTGACATGGCTTTGTCCGTCCTGCTCCCCACAGATCTCGGTCATCAGGCGCCAGCAGAGGACGGTCCAGTCGACGGTGCCCGAAGATGCCCAGAGAAAGGCTCAGAGTCTCTTCGTCAGAGAGGTAGAGCGCCACCCGCCGTCGCAGCCCCTCGCCCCTTAGGGGAAGCAGAGAGGCCGCCAGCCTCCGCGGGCCCGTGGGCAGAGGGAGGGGGCGACACAGCTCCGTGCTCCCAGAAGGGGCGGCCCTTGGGTGGAAGGGGCGGGGCCAGGGCCACCAGCCTGGAGCATGGCGTGTCCCCCCCACACCTCCCCGCCCTCAGAGCTGCACAGAGCACACAGCACTCCGGTGGCGATTTAAAGAGCAGTTGATTAGCCCCCCCACCCTGTGCTGTCCGCCCCCGCT